ATTGTTGAAGGCTGTACTAGGCCTTGAATTGCATGATAGTTATCGCATTGACAACCGTACTATGTACCACATCTCAGCATTTGATGCAGATACCATTTCATCTATCAAAAAATGAGAGAAGAAGAAAACCAGAATTGATATCGAAAATTCAAACCTAATTTTTGATTGTGATAACGCTTTTTATTACATTGGTAGCAATGAATTACATTAATTTCCCAGTCAAATAAAAACCGATAATTTCACATGTGAAATAAACGTGGTTATTTCACTCTCTGACGTCATACAACAATAGGCGTTGTCAAGACGTCGATAACGTCGGATCAAAACAAATTGTGAATGCGTAGGAAAAAGATATAGTTCCTTACATTTTCTACATTAATTTCATTAAAAAAAGCCATTTGCCAATGTAATAAAAAGAATAACTAATCAAAGAATTCAAATATCGAAAAATATTCAACTCGTGACAGAACAACACTGATAATTAACTCATGCGCTACGCGCATTCGTGAATTAATGTGTTGTTCGGTCACTCGTTGAATATTTTTCTCTATTTGAATTCTTCGATTAGTTATTCTATAAATAATCATTTAAAGACGAGTTTTGTGTTACATGTTACACACAGAGACAAATGCCTCTAGTTTAAAATTTTAGAAATCGATTTGCTGTCACCCGGAAGAATCGTAAAATATATAAGTGCGTCTTATATACATATATTTATGAAATGAAATAATGCATGGATGTGCCAGAGGAGGTAGACAGTAAATCATATACATATATATCAACTATTGTACTGGTTCTCAAGGACACGTCATATTTCATTTCGATACTAGACGGTATAAAAAGACTTATGCGTTCATTTCTGATACAATTTTAATAAAAAACAATCAACCGTTATGATAAATTAGTTAATTCTGTATACTTTAAGGGGCATTAGCTGTCAAATTCATGCTCACCGATATGACTAAAATTTACGCAATAATCCCCGTTTTAAAGAGATCTTACAGTCCATACATTTGTACATCCCTGATATGTGAACTTGGAATTCTAAAATACTACAGTTGACTACTACAGATACTGTGCAAACCCTATATAACAATAAGAATATGTGGTATGATTGCCACTGAGATAACTCTTCATAAGATATCAGATGACGTTGAATTAGCAGCTATATGTCACCGTACGGCCTTCAACAATGAGCAAAACCCATGCCATATAGCAAGCTATAAAAAGCCCCAAAATGACAAATGGAAAACAATTCACACAAGAACAATTTACGACCTAATTTATTAACAATACAATAACTGAAAAGAAATATGACATATACAGCAACAAACGACAGCTACTGACTTGGGACAGGCAGATGCAGAATGAAGCGGTGTTAAACATGTTTGGCGCCGACCAGTCCTCCCCCTAACACTGGGACAGTGGTGTAACAGCACAACATAAGAATACACTATAAAATCAGTTGAAAAGGACTAAACTCATTAGATCGATAAAAAAAATCCAGAAACAACAAACAAACAACAGTAAAGACACAAAGTATAGATTGAGAGTACTCGCAGTTACTAATAGTTCAAAGTCAATAACAACTAATACACAAATCATGTATCTAAGACTTAAATATCAATCGGTTCACATTCAATGGATTTTGTGTAAAGACGTCTTAAACAGTCAGAGAAAAAACATGACCTAGCTATCGGCAAGTTAGTTATCAAATATTATTCTAAACAAAACACGAGTTACTAGTAATAGAAAAACAAAGAATATGGGGTATCCATCCATGACACAAAATCAGAACATGCACAGCAAAAAAAAAAAAAAAAAACGAAACACACACACACACAAAGCAAACGAATATTGCTGTTCTTCATCATAGTAGTCTACAAATGGCTCATGTACAAAGTCACAATGATGACGAATCATTTCATTGCAGCATATTCTAAGGCGAAAGACTAATGGAATGTGACAGAGGACATGACAATTATATCCATGTTCACACAGTCTGAATAAACTACAGGTTGCTTAAGATTATTCAAACCAATTACTTTCTTCTCTAATATATTCCATTGTATTTAGTTTGAATTTCGTAACGTTTTATAAAAATATAACCTTATTTTTTTTTAATTAACTATAAGACAAACATGGTGACACTCATCATGACAGTATGACAAGCCGTGTTTATGCTTATTTCTTTTTCAAGATATTTTATAAAGTTAAAAAGATATCTTTTAAACTAAATATGATATCGTATTTATGAAATACGATATATGATTAAACAGTTTATAAAGATATCTTATTTAGTTTATTAGATATCTTATGTGGGTTATAAGATATCTTATTTAGTTGAAATTATATCTTATTTAGTTACAAATTTATCTTGTTTATCTTAAAAGATATCTTATCAATGTGTTTGTATTGTATACTGTTGTATGTCTTTTGATCGTTTTCGTTTTTTTTGCCATGGTATTGTCATTTTGTTTTCGACTTATGAGTATGAATATCTCTTTGGTATCTTTCGTCTCTCTTTTATAGACTTGGTTTTTCCGTTTGAATGGTTTTACACTAGTAATTTTTTGGGGCCCTTTATAGCTTGCTGTTCGGTGTGAGCCAATGCTCCGTGTTGAAGGCCGTACCTTTACCTATAATGGTTTACTTTTATAAATTGTAACTTCGAGTTGTCTCATTGGCACTCATACCACATCTTTCTATATCTATTGGTAAGACATCTTATATATCTTTTTTTTTAATGATATCTTATTACTAACTCAGATATCTTATACAGTAAATACGATACCATATCAACTAAATAAAATATCTTATAAACTAATTAAGATATTATACACATTAGATAGTGTTTAAGATACCTCGTATTCTTTATCATATAATGTGTATATCTTATTTAATTGAAGTTAATAATAAGATATTGCATATACTTTATAAGATATTTTATAATACTCTATAAGATATCTTATACACATTATGAGATATCTTATATACTTTTTAATATCTTTTATATATTACTTTAATTACATAATTAAGATATCAGATAAATCAACCATATAAGATGTGTCGTATACTAGGTTATATGATATCTAATAAAGTAAATAAGCTATTATTAGAAAAAAAAACAATAATTGCAAAGTTAAAGTTCAGAAATGTGCAAAAAATGAAGCTCCCGTGACTCTGAATCGTTCATCTTATAAAACTATGCGAATAAAATCTTTAACAACAGTGGAAGTCATTTTCCCAACGCTAAGTAAGATTGTGACTTGGTTTGATTGAGACAGATCCCCTAGGAGAAAATTGAACAAATATGGTCAAGTCATTTAAAGGCAATAACCCAAACAAGGAGTTTATTACCAATTTCAATTTCTTGTAAATCTTGTCTGGCTGTTGACACTTCATCTTTATCGATAATCAAAGTTTTCAAAGACTTACAAAACAAACCCGCTGAAATTGATCATAAATTGTCATTTAGTTTCAGTAACTGTTATGTTTACTTATTTGTAAATCTAACATTTCTGATCATTTAAAATGTTCACAGTTTTCTTCTATTCATTATTCTGATTTATCATAATAGTTCTATTAAAAGATTATAGACATAAATGTCACTGTAGGGCAATGACTCCTAAAAGTAGTTGATTGGCGATTTCAGTTATAATGACTTATTTGTATATATCTTATGTACACAATGTATCTCTTTTGTATTATAGTTTTCAGGATAATAATAAAAAGACAAGAAATGGTAATATAATCAATATTTCAGGACAGTAACGCCTATTAGGAGTGATTGACAACTTCAGTTAGTCGTATAATTGAAATATTTATTAGTCTTATTTTGCTGATAATTTTGTTGTTGTTTCCAATTTCTATCTAGCTATTATATATTTGCAAGACAAATAACCAAAAAGTATTTTAAATAATGGGAAAGATTGTCATTAAAGGACAAAGAATCAAATACAGAGTCGATTGTCGATTATGTTGACTTATTTGTAGACTCTTATTCTGCTGCCAACTTTTTTGTTTCAGTTTTTCTATGACTTAGTATAACAGTTTTCAATAAAATTGCAACCAATGCTAGAAATTACTGAAAATTGTCATTTAATGGCAATTGCATACGATCGTCAATTTCGGTCATGTTGACTTATTTGTAGATCTTATTTCGCTGGTATTTTTCTCTATATATAGCTACTGTAGTTTTCGCCATAAAAAATCCTAAAGGAAAGACAACTACTTCTATAAGGAGTACGATGACGATTTCGATCATTATATTTTTCAAGAAAATTTAAATCCTAAAACGCTGCTTACGGCTGTTTCTCTCTAATATCAAGTTTTCGCCAAAACGGGTAAAATCATCATTGAAGGTCAATTCTTCCTATCAGGTGTTGTTGGACGATTTCGGTCATTAATCTATCCGATCATTTTTGCTGTTTAAAGTTTCTTCTTTTATTTTAGTTTTCAAAAAACACCCCCAAAACTGGGTAAACATTTTCATTTAAGGGCAATAACTCCTATAAAGAGTCGATTGACAATATTGGTTCAATATGCTGATTTTTATGTAGATCTTGTCTTGCTGTTCATTTTTGACTTAATAAATCTATCTCCATTTCACAAAAGTGTTCAAAGTTATAGCCAAAAACTATAAACTGTGCTTAAAATTGAATTTCAAGGGAAATAACTCCAAAATGGGTTGTCTAACTTTTCTAATGTTTTGGCTATGCTTTTATCCGATAGAAACAAAATGGGAATCGTATGTAGACATTTCGCACATCATTACTTCTAAAACATTTTACTATGTGGTTTCAGAGGAGAAGACGACGGATGACGGACGCAACGTGATGGTATCAAAATGGGTAAAAAAAATACCCTGAAAATATTATATTAAATAGCAGAGGAATTTTATCTTCATTTCGTGCCAAGCATTATTCCATTCTATTTCAAAAAGGAAACTTCCCTATAAGAAATTTGTTGTCATAAATGGCATAAAAAGTTTCAAAATATTATACTATTATTATATTTATTTACTTTTCTACAAAAGTATATTCAACACTGTAACAATGCAAATATATATATATATACATTTATTTATATACAAAACATATACAAAAGTTATTATATCTTCAACGGAATGGTATCACATTATATTCAACAAATAAACAACCATCAATCAATATATGCCAACTGTGGTAAACGTCAAGCAATCAATATTAATGAACTCTTAATCTGTACTAATGGTATCTATATTACCAACATCTAAATAACGAGAATTCTAAACCATTAAAATTCATATAATATATTTTATAAAATTGCGCACAAAATACTAGTATTGCTCAAGATTGTACTAAGTGACAATATCACTGTCACTCTTTGCTCTTCAGATTAGCGTCACATTCTAATTGTGTCATTTGAACCAATTATATGAGCAAGATTTTCTTTTAACCCCCTTTTTTCCACTTTCTTGGTTTCTCTATGTTTATTCCGTCAAAAGAATGGTGTTCAAATGTAATACCTGATATGATCATATTGTACTGTTTAAAAAATCGAATACATTTTTTCTTCTTTTGATTATAATATCACTGTATACATAATGAAAATTATTTCTCTATAATGCATTAAGAGTCTTGTGCAAGCAAATTAAGATTTTAAGCTTATCATTATATGTATTCAAACTTACTTCTTTTTGATTATTTCTTTAGGAGAAAAGTAAACATTAAACATTGGGTTGCATGACACGAAAGAAATATAATACAATATTGCAAAAACTTTTAGGCACTTCATTTTTATGGATTGAAATATTGGCAATATTACTTGTGGAATGCATACTTTGGCACTTATATTGCAGCAAATAGCAAAAAACAACGTATTATTAACTATTACTTTGATTGTTAAAAAATCAACAATCTCTTGACTTGCGTCATTCTTACATTTTTAAATCAAGAAATATTTAAGAGAATTGTTTATCAAATATAGTTTTCAGACAACGGCAACAGTATATCATTTACGAGATCCGCTGCACGAGATCGAGTATTTTTTCACCAAATCAAGTTGAATGGACACGTAAACCAAAGCATCTTGATTGTGTTGTTCTATTTCAAATTTCATTTCAATTGTTTTATAGCAGTTTAGCTTGGTGTTGTTAGATATTATACGTCTGCTTTTTTGTTTCTATATGTCTGTAGTTGTTAGGATAAGAAAAGACATTTTAGAAAGCAAATAATGCTATGATTTCGGGTCACTGCTTTGGTTGCCTGATGTGTTAAAGAACATTATCAGTTAATGTTAATTAAGTACAATTGTTTCGTCACAGCTCGAACAAATTGTCACAAGTTGATCTTGTCTTTGAGCCTTTTCTAAACAATTTATTCAATAACTTTTTCGGACCTTTTCCCGAAGAAGGTTTTTCCAATTGATCTTGAGCAATCATATTAGCAGTAGCCTTTTCTATTGCCTCTGGGTTCAGTTTGAGCTTTATTTGTTTCAATAATCCCACTAACAGTTCATCGACTTTATGATTAAGAGCTGCTGACGTTTCTATATATTTGCAATCGTAGTCTTTGGCGATTTGTCTGGCTTCTGAAACGAAAAATGACACGTCAGAATGTAAAACGAACTTAATGACAACGTAGTACACAAGTAAATCAATTTAATAAAAAATCTAAGCTTTAAAAGTGTTTTATTGTGACATGAAGATTGGAAAATTAAATTGAAGTGTGAGCTAATGGTAGTCGACTGTAGACGGAAAGTCTTGATATAGAGAATTGTATTACTTTATAAGACAGTTCGTTGACATTGCTTGATACTTTTCATGCAAAATAATTGAATTCGCGTGACGAAAAAAAGCAACCGAGCAAACAATGTTAAAGATATTTTTAAATACGAGTTTCAGATGCAAATCAAATATTGGATGGTATCATGTTAACATAATAGAAAGCTTATTTAACCGTATGTTTGCATAACCATTACAAAGATAAACAAGAAGATACGGGTTGACTGTAAATTGGACTGTATAATTCAAGGTTAACCGAAAAATAAAATTTTTAATATCAAAGTTCGACATCTCTATTGTCTCTTGACAGTTTGTTTTTATAACTTGTGTCGTTGGGTTGCTCAATGTCTCATACCCCGCGTCTTCTTTTATACAAATTAGTGAGAAAATGCTTATTTCTTAAAGCCACTGGTTACTTATACGAGTATATTTTCAGAAATACTACACTCAGTCTGGATGTTATACAAATAAAAATCAATCAATCAAATGTACTTAAATATTTCCTAATGATTCATTAATCTTACACAACCAAACATTTTCTCTGTAAATTGACTCATCGTCTGATGAATATGAAAAATTAAAGTAACTTGATCCGTGAAAGAGCTACAATTAGATTTATCCTTATCTTCGCTGATCTCATGGGGATGATTATTGTTAAAAATAACTACCATGTAACTTCTTTTAGAAAACAGATAAGAAATTAATTGGACGATATTGGTAAACATATATCAACTTGACCTAAAGGTTTAATTTTGTATTGTCGTTAAGAAACCAACCGTTCATTGAAAGTAAATACCAACAAGCATTAAAATTACAAGAAAAGCTGGTTTTTATTTAGAGGAAATTTAAAATATATAACGAGGATTATCACGTTTTGTGTGATAAAACATATATATTGACGTCACTACTGCCCTATAAACTTCAAGAAATCATAGGGTAGATAAAAATGCAGCACCACACCCATACTTTTTAATGGAAAGTTTGTCGGCCAGATAATGCAACAGTTACTGGACCATTCTTAATAGCTTGATGCCAAGGTAATGCATGTGATACGACTGTTTAGAAATTAGAGATTACATCACCAACAAAAATTGAAAACACCCAAATCCTAAATTTTGCATTTCATCCTAAAAGGCGAAAACCATATACCAATTATACGTGTGTTTATATTTTATTTTTTTTTTACCCCTGATGTCATCCTCTTAAATTGTCAATTCAAAAGTTCGGTCAATTAGATAAGTTATATATAATATTCTTAAGAAATGAAAGCTCTCAAAATTGAGACCCTGGCAAACAAACATAAGTAAAAATCTCATCAAAGGTATACCAGGCTTATAGTTTGGTACACCGACGCGTGTTTCGTCTGCATAGGACTCATTATTTGCGCTCGAATAAAAAAACATGATATAAAATCAGACAGTTCCTATACGCAGTTTGATTTAATTTATGTCCTAATGCCGAAGACAGTTGCTAATGAAAAGTTTGCATTTATTAGAATAATTTATATTTTTCTATCTTTGAAAATCCTAGATAAGTACATTGTTTAAAACTAACCTTCAGTTGATATCTGTCGTTTTCGTACCAGATCTACTTTATTGGCCACTAGTATGATAGCTCTGTCACTGAACAGTTCATATCGTATGTTTTGTAAGTACTGTTTGGCAACTTCAAAGGAATCACTGTCGTGGACGGAGAATGCAACTATATAGGCATCTACAGGAAATCTGTCCAGGTCTTCCTATCAAACATGAAAAACTATACATTATAATCTTGTATGTGATGAAAACTCAATTATTTCCATACCGAGACTCGTTTCAATGAAAAACTAGTTCCTTGTTTTATTTATATTTCAAATCAATGGGAAATGATGGGCTTGTGAGACATCGACGAATAAAACAATGGTTTTAACAGCCCAATAAATTAATGATAATCATCTCTAGTTATAAACTCATCATAATTACTCTCTCCGCATTTTGCAATCGTAAAATGCTGATAATTCCAAAAATAGTAATTGTCCAATTGCTCAGGTTTGAACCCCTCTTCCAATAAAATGTTTTCCCATTTGAAAAGAATTTGTTTTATACAATCAAAATGTTTAAACTGACCTCGTGTTCGGAGTGGTCAATAAATTCCATGGTTGATTCTTCATCATCTACTAATACTGATAACATTTTATCATCGTCATCATCTGCAAAATAGGGTACGCATATTGTATTGAATTGTATTTCTTCGTTTGTGTTACATGCATGCATGTATAAAAACGAAGATTTTATCTACTTTTAATTTTTTAATACGTGTGATTTTTATATAACTTTATCAACTTTTTTTTACAAGTGTTAGGTAAGCCTAAATCATATACATATCTTCAGAATAGATAACATTCAATGTGCAGCGTAAAGTAAATATATGTTATCCTGGAGCAATACAAGAAGGACAAAAAGTTTAAAAAGAATGATTATTAATGATAAAGTTGAATTCTATAAGCTAAGTGGTTTTATCAAAATGTATAAATCGACTTTGCATCGATTTCTTTGATTTCTCAATAAAAAAGAGTGTCTTTTCAATTTCATTCCGTTCCGTCGTTTACAGGATTTCATATTTAAATTGTTACATTTCAAATGAAACAATGTCGAAGCTATGATTCAGAAAAATATGAAATGTTACAGTTAAACGACTTTGAGATCATTAGTAATTTACTAGACGGTTTTAAAAAAAGATAAAATATTTTTCTAACAACTGTCTGAATAATTTATTCAAAGGTAACATGCGTCAAATGAGTGTGTTAATATTATATCTTTTATAAGATCAATGTATATGACAATAGACCATTTTCTGTTTTCTTTAAATGAGAAGTAATTCCAACATTAAAGTTAATTTAAGTGGCCGAAAGTAAAAAAATAAATACAATAAATTACCTAACTTTTTGTATTCGAGCGCCACTAATGAGTCGTTTGTAGACAAAACGCGCGTTTGGCGTAAAGTTTTAAGCATGGGGGTCTATGATGAGTTTATATGTTTGAGTGCAATGGACTATATTTCCATTACATTTTTAAATTACCATAATTTAATTCATGAGTAACACGAAAGAATCAATACAACAATGCTTGTTTAAGACTTCTACAAACAGGTACATGTAGTTTTAGTTTCTTTCCATGCATTCAAAATGTAAAATGACACTATCATGATTGTTAAGTGAAACTTACCATTTCCAATTTCAAATGACGACATGAATTCAGAGGTCATAAATCGTTTAGCTAGGGTTGTTTTCCCGACACCGTTAGCTCCTATTATTAGTACTCTGTAATATCCACTGGAACAAGAAGATGAACAACTACATGTGATAGCACTATCGTCTGAATTGTCACTAGGAAATCTTTGTCGTTTTAAGTCTTTTTCTATGAAAGAAGGATTTACAGATGATCTTCTAGAGTTTTTATTCAGATCATGTCCATTTATATGTCCTTTAGAGGTCATTTTGAATGACCTTACCCGTTTGACAGGCCGTTTGTAGGCATCTCTTAAGTCATTATAAGATACTGAGAGTAAATTTTCTGTTGAAATAGGTAAACTGTTTCTACGCCGCAAATCCTCTGATTCTATTAAACTTTTGTGTCTCGTCCTGTCTTTAAAGGAACATGTTCTAGAACTTGGCTCCGAGCGAGACTCACTTCCATCCGGGATTAAAAGTTCCGGATACAAAGTAAATTTTGGCTTTATGTACTCGGCAACATTTATGTCAGAAATTTCGTTTTGAATCATGCTTCTTTTCTTTTCCGAGTGCTTAGTCATAATTTGTATTAGCTATTTCGTATCTAAAGAAAAATCCGCTTCGCTTTTATATTCCAGAGTTTTAAATTTTCACTGATGTTTTCCAATAGTTTTATTGTATTTATACCTCGCACTGTAAATATCTAATGAACCACGTGGTTCCCTGACTCAGTTTCAGTGATGTCAATAATATAAAGGTTTAATCGGTTCCAGTGACGTCGAACATCTTGTATACGATAACAATTTATTACTACAATTTAATATCGGCGGGATATTGCAATAGGAATCGCTAAGTTAAAACGGTACATTGGCCTTTCTGTTTAGTACGCTAGGGAGTTATAAAACTTTGTTTACTAAAGGGCAAGATTATATTTGTGCTTGATTTGCCTTGCAGTTTATTAAAACGTACTATATTTATTTATATGCACATTTCCCTTATGCAATAGTCAATCATTGTAGTATTAATGCCTGAAAAAATATATAATTTCTATCATAGAGGTAGTAGGACCAATTTCTACTGAATTTGTTTTTACACAAAGGGTCAGATAGGGATGTTAATACATAAAAAGTAAAATAACAAAAATACCGAACTCCAAGGAAAATTCAAATCGGAAAGTCCCTAATCAAATGGCAAAATAAAAAGCTCAAACACATCAAACGAATGGAAAAACAAATGTCATATTCCTAACTTGGTACAGGCATTTCCTTCTGTGGAAAATGGTGGATTAAACCTGGTTTTATAGTTAGATAAACCTCTCACTTGTATGACAGTCGCCTATAATTCCATTATATTGACAACAATATTATTACTCAATGGATATCGTTTAACAGAAAATCCAAATATGCTGCTACATGTATACATGTGGATATCATTTCGAATTACTTTTATTAGATTAATATATTGAAATTAAAATAAAAAAAATGTATGTTTTCGTTTGGAAATTTTTTATTTCTTTTCATATTGATTGAAATAAAATAGAAAACGCATACGCTTTTAGATACATGAGGTTTGTTTTTTTTTTATTATTTGTAATCGGTTTTGCTATACAGCCGGTTAAAGCCTCAATTGTAAAGAAAATACAGCGTTTTTTTCGTTGTGACAAGATGGCTATACTTTTTGAAGTCATTGCAGTAGAAACTATACGCATGGTTTCCGGCAAAAAAATATCATGAACCAGGAGAAAAGTAACAAAAACTTTCAAAATATAAATATTTTTCCTCTCAGCTTTTCCAATTTCACGGTATAAATGCGCAAACCCGATATATGCTTACCTTGCATATGCTTGGACATTTTTCAGACCGTTTTTAAAAATAATATTTTCCGGTTTACGGTTTCAGTGATATTGATTTTGTTTTAACACGCGAATAGCTATAACAATAGCAATATTCTTGTGAAGTTTTACGATGATCGGAGAAAAAATACCGAAGGAAAAAAACGGAACTCAGATCTTTTGCACACAAAATGTAACGTTGGACATTACGTTTTTGCGTAAAAATGGGATAATTAAGTGTTCTAATTCTTGGTATTTTAAATTTCGGTTCCTTTTTTTCTTTATTTTGAATTCTAATGTAATGAATTCAACCAGAAATCACTATATTTTTATCGAACTGACCAGTCTACGTATTTATTTTTATGCTAATCTATAGCAAAATGGAATTCGTACCAACATCGTGCGCAACGTCAGTACTTTCAGATCTGTACATGCACTTTGTGTCTTTTGTGTTTTTGTTAGAGATTTTTGTGCCTTGTATCGATCTGATAAGTTAAGCCCCTTTCAACTGGTTTTTATAGTTTGTTCTCATGTTGTACTATTACATCCTTGTCCCAGGTATAGTGGGAGGATTTGGAGCCAGCAAACATGTTTAACCCAGCCACATTTGTATGTGCCTGTCCCAAGTCAGGAACCTGTAATTCAGTGTATGTCATGTTTGTTTTTCGTTTATTGATTTGTTCATAAATCAGGCCGTTATAATTTTCTCGTTTGAATTATTTTACATTTTGCATTTTGGGGCCTTTTATAGCTTACTATGCGTTATTTGGTTTGATCATTGTTGAAAGCAGTACGATTAACTCTACGTCATTTGGTCTCTGGTGGAGATTTGTCTCATTGGCAATCATAACACATCTTCTGACTCTGAAACATTCAACTTTATTTCCGGGTAACAAAATAGTCTCTAAAATTGTAATGGATGTGAAACTATATCCTCTCAGTTTGAATACTTATCATTAGTATAATTTCCGTTCATGTGGTCATCTGTGTTTATTAAGCTGATATCGTGATAGTACTTACCAATTCATTTAAATCGTGAAAGTACTTTCCCATTCATAGAGGCGTGCATGCACAATGATTGTTCGCATAATTAGAGCGTCATCAACTGAACATGTAACAGCTTTGATTATGAAATTATTCTATCTTGTATCATTATCAGGGGGAAAAATTGAACAAACAATTGTTTACGATAATAAAGGCTACTTAACATGTAGAAAGGTTGCTATTTTATTTTTCACCAGACGACATTTACACTGAGGTCGGTTTTTCTACATGTTATTTGAGAATAGTAAAGAACTTTAAAGAGCATTCGACTATGTGAAAATATCTATTGAGGGATTTAGATCAAGATTCAATTCTTGTCGAAATATTTGCATACATGTATGTTCTTCTATGTTTTATTGAAGTACATGTATAAAGTCAGTGAAATTGAAATGACCACATTGTTTACGTGTATGTCACAAAGAGCCTGTGATCAGTTGTCGTAGGTTGCTTTTTGTCATAACTGTACGTGTTAATCGTTTATTATATTTCCCGTTTTGTCATTCCGTGTTTTTATACGCCCGTTTACGGGACGTATTATGGTATACCGTTGTCCGTCCGTCCGTCGTCAACATGTCAGACAATAACCCAAAAACTCCTTGACCAATTTATATGAAACTTTGGTGAATTGTTTATAATTATTGACGTAAACTCCCTTTCGATTTTCATAAATTTTAGATTTTACATTTCCGAGTTAGGGGGATTTTATTTATAAAAAGGGGGAGGGTGTTCCAGTTATCGGACAATAACTCAAAATTGCTTCGAGCAGTTTTCACGAAACTTTGGTAACTGGTTTATATCTATCAAGATAAGCTCATTTTATTCTTTTTTTTTATATAAATTTCTGATATGGCATTGAGGAGTAATGGAACTTTATTCATTGAAAAGCGACGTGCGTAGCATGCGCTAATGGCGCAGCTCTTTATTATAGCATACTATACGGTTTGGATTTTGCTCATTGTTGAAAGGTGGAGCACCTGAGATCACCCCCAGTTTTTGGTGGGGTTCGTGTTGCTTAGTCTTTAGTTTTCTATGTTGTGTCTTGTGAACTATTATTTGTCTGTTTGTCTTTTTATTTTTTAGCCATGCATGGCGTTGTCAGTTTATTTTCGATCTATGAGTTTGACTGTCCCTCTGGTATCTTTCGCCCCTCTTTTGTACAGTCTTTTGGTCGTATGAAAAGTTGTTTCATTGACAATCATACAAAGTCTTATTTTATATACAAAGATTAAAAAAGTTAGAAAAAATCTTAACAGTGTATACATATCAACGTTTTTTTTAGAGATTGTAGAATTTGATAGATGCTGAAACTTGATGTTTTACAACACGTTTCTAATGAAGCTCTGTCCATACGGATACTCTTACCTTAACATTTGACACTAAAACGACTACAGAACGGTATAGATAAAAAAGTATAGGTATATATATATATATATATATATATGCATGCAGTACTACACATTTTATTTACTTTATGTCCCTGATTTTTATCCCAATATTCAATAGAGCACTCCTTTTTCTAGTTTCTGTATCTACTGAGACAAAAGGGAGGGTAACATTTTAGAGGAGATGTTGGGTAAATATTAAATAAGATACATTAGTTAATCCTATTAATTAAATTTGAGGTTTTGAATAATATTTTGTTTTACTATGTTCGTGCTTTGTATATTTGTGGACTTCTTGTAATATATCTTTTTCGTTTAGCAGTTATTGCATTATATAATGAAACCTTATCGTTCTAAATCAGACTCCGAGAATAATTATCATTGATTACCCTCTACTGAGAAACAGAGAAAATTCGTAATAATTTGTGTTGTTAATATTTTATTACATAATCGTAGTACGGAAAGGGGTTATTCAGTTTTATATTCTTGGGACTTTATCATTTGTGGTTTCTTGAAATCCTTTTTGATCATTAAACCGATGCCAAATTACAGAACATCATCCTGAGGATAAGATAATAACTCCATTGACCTTTTACTTGCTTTTTTATTAGTATATCTATTACCTGTAAAACAGTTATAATTGATAAGAAATTAAGTTACTTTGTTAGATACTGAGAGCTTAATAGCACATTTAATGATAACGTAATACAAGAATCAATATTCGACAGTCATGTACTCCTGAGAATGTACAACATTGGAACTTTGTTCGATAGGTGAAATGTTACTGCACTTCAAGTAGAAGTACGAGTACCCGTAAACATTGATAGTAATAGTTGAAGATGGCTTTTCGTCTGGATTTAGACTTCTAGAAGATACAATGTATGCTAATACGACAGAAATAGGAAGAAAAAAAACCCAATTATAACTTCAGTAAGAGTACTTGATTTTCAGTTATTTTTTAATCAAAAATAATTATCAACATGAATGGGATAGTTTTTGTTAAATGATAATAGCCTACGATATTTGGACAAATTTATTGTACGATAGTCAGTTTTCAATCTGAAACAATGAGAATAAAGTCTTATGACAGAAAATGAACAGTGGTATTGACCTAACAGTCAGTGCCGAAATATCTTATTACATAAAATAAAAATAAATATAACAAATTTATGTGTGCCTGTTATACAAATTAATATCACGATTAATTTTGATGTATTAATTTTCATCCTTACAAATTTACAATTAACATTTTTTAGAAATAAGAAGTCGTGGGATGATTGCCAATGAGACAACTCTCTACCAGAGACCAAATGACGTAGAAGTTAACAACTATAGGTCACCATACGGCGTTATATATATATATATATATATATATATATATGTTCGTTAACGAGACAGCAAATCATCACCACAATAGA